GTGTTTTGTAATCATCAAAATCATAGGTACAACAATCTCCCCCTTTTTGATGATGACAAAACACTTTGAGAATTAATTAATGAAAGCACATATATACTTCAATATTAACCAGAATTTCAGCACAAAGTACTTTAGAAAATGACATTACATTCAGCATATTCTCTCCCCCTTTTTGTCATTCATCAAAAAGCACATAATCAACAAACTCCCCCTTAATTCATGCACATCAATCTTTTAAAGTATTTAAGCATGATAACCATTAAGAGGAGTAATTTAAGCACAAAATGTTCCCCCTCCATAAGAGCATACAATCATCAAAATCATAGACAACCATTAAGCATGATAACACAAGTGATGCCATTACCATTCACAAAGCATGATAACACAAGTGATCGGGTTTGGGTCGAATTCGCCTGGGGGTTGAGAAAATAACAGATCTAGTTCGAAGAGAGAGAAGCCCGAAAGATTTAAAGACTGACGGAGAGTCGGCTTTGGTCTTGGAGCCGGCTCAATCTTAGAGAGAGAAAACTCTCGAGATTTTGGTTGAGCCGGCTCTAACCAGCTCTAAAGAAGGTGCAGCCGACTCTACTGGCCTTGATTGGTACAAATAAAAGGTTTGGGATTGTTTTGAAGAAGATGCACCTAATTTGATATTCCTTCATTTTACCAAGTTTAAGTTAGACATCAACTATTAAATCATGCAATTTTAGTCATATATCAATGTGTACATCATCAAATAACATGATTATAATCAAGGTAAACATATCAAAGTCATCAATATGCATAAATTCTAATAAGCAAAAACATTAATTTCTTTTATCAAAAAAAAAAAAACATTAATTTCAAAAGCCATATCAAGCACTAGGATCCAACATGCCAAGCTCATTAATTTGCATAAATTTTAATAATCACATCAAATGATATTATATTCAACAAGCATATATATCAAAGAGTGAACACACATAAACAAATAATTGATAGTCATGTTAAAGTAATTATACTCAATGAATAAATGCAATAAAATAAATAATACCAATTTGAACACATGAGTGGAGCATTCAAAATCCAATTTTCTTTGCACTTTCACTCCAACATTCTTGTTGAGGCATAAGTCTTTATCAAGATCAACTTTACTCTTCTTTTGACTTTGCCATCAACTTTACCTACAAAACAAAATTAAGTTTTGATTTTTGGTACCCAAATTTGCTTGGGTCCATGGGGGTTAGTGCTTAAAGATCCTTTTGGAACCCAAATTTGCTTCACTTTACCTTGAGCTATCAATCTCTTCAAAGGACATACATAAGCAAAGTGTCCCTTTGCACCACAACAATAGCAAGTAACATTAGGATGAGAGGATTGACTTGCTCTTACAAAAGAATTCTTAAAAGTC